CAGTTTTCCATAACAAGCATGTTGTCTAGACATCGACCAGTGGAATAAAGTGATTGAGGTTCTGGGCACGCCCAGTCTGGAGTTTATGAACCGACTGATGGAGACCGTAAGGAACTATGTGATGAACAAGCCGCAGTATCCTGGTGTCAGCTTCGCCGAGCTTTTCCCGGACTGGGCCTTTCCTTCTGACTCAGAACATGACAGACTGAAGAGTAAGAATTTTGGACACAAAAAAGAACACGTTGGTTTGGGAATGTGTGGAACCATCGGTGGAGAAAAAAAAGGAATATCTATCTTATCGGCTATCTATCGTGATCTATCTATCGTATCTATCGTATCGTATCCTTATCGGTATCATCTATTCTATCTACTCTATCTATCTATCTATACATTGCCATAATGTATAGATTTTATCAAAACAGAGGCTTTTATCTGCAGTACATTGGTGTAATGAGTCATTTCTCAATAAAATTACATTAGAAAAGGAGCTGAAAACCCTTATACAACTAGCTCAAAGAATGACCATGCAGGTCAAAAGTTTCCCCAATCTGTGGCATTTAGAGTTAGAGATCACATTACTGAAACCAGAGAACAAATCTTGACATTCCCAGAGATGTTACCCAACACCACAAGGGGAAGTAATCAGCTCTCATGAAGACCGCTTAAATGAAGTGATGTCATCATGAGCCTTTTTCCATAGTAACACTGTCCTTCCTCTGTTGCCATAACAGCGGGTCAGGCACGGGACCTGCTATCCAAAATGCTGGTCATTGATCCTGAATGCCGCATCTCTGTAGAAGAAGCCCTCAATCACCCATACATTCACGTGTGGTATGACCCTGGGGAAGCTGACGCGGTGAGGAGACGAGGTTCCAGTGGTTTTACACTTGCAGTCGCTGTGTGTGACCTTGCTGATGTATTTATTTCTCTTTGTTTCACAGCCTCCTCCCCAGATTTCAGATAAGCAGCTGGAAGAGAGGGAGCACAGCATCGAGCAATGGAAAGGTAGGATGCACTGCCCTCTAGGGAAATCTGTCAGCAGTGCAGCTTAACTTCCTGTTCATTTTTACATTCAGGTTACAAGAAACTAAACCTAACCCTATTAAGAAGTTGTTTCTTCTATAACCATATGTAAATATACTCTCGGTGCACAGAAAAAATTATGGTGGTTTATTTAGACTTTTTTCATAATATTTTGCCAGGACGCTGTTTCAATTAGATCCAATTAAAATCAACTAAGATACTTGGTGTAGGTTAATATGGCAATACACAAACATGTAAAAGTAACAAAGGAATCCAACAATCCTGGAAAGTTTGTTTGTACTGAACACTGTCAAAGTGTGCTTTACTTGAGAAATAGACCTTTTTATGCCTCACGTGCATGAAACCGACTCAACAAATCTAAAGAAAAGAAAAACCTCTGGATTTTAATTTTGTGTCTACAGTTGTGGTAGCTAAAATATGTGTAGGTAATGTCATAATTAAATAATTACTTAAGAAAAAAGTGTTGCTGAACTTTTTTTTGTTTTTTCAGCAACGGCTGCGCTGCCTCTTGCACTACATTTTTAACCATTCCAGCTGCACACAAACGTCTCTCTTCTTTGTCACTTGGAAAAATCTTCCAGGAAGTTTTCTTCTGAAAAATGTGTCAAACGTACATTTATCTGTGATAGTCCATGCATTTGTCAACCTTTTTTTCTTTGTGACAAATCGTTTTTAAAACCCAGCGTCCAAACCAGGAAATAGGCTACATTCTGAGCACACAATGATGGCACCTAACTTTTTCTGCTTTTCTACAGAACTCATTTATGAAGAGGTGATAGACTGGGAAGAGAGGAACAAGAACGGACTGATGAAAGAAGATTGCTCAGGTACGTACATGCTCTGTCTTCATTTATCATCTGCGATATTGGGCAACACACTGCTGTAAGGAGTGGTGTCAGATCACAACTAACTTGAGCTCACGACTGGTTTCCGGGTTTATTAACTCTCTATATTGTTCTAATCTGTACAACTACCTAAACGTATGTCCTGGTTCTCTCCATGTGTGTCATGTATCAGATGTGGTGTCCGGTTCAGCCTCCCAGTCCTCATCAGCCAACGACATCTCGTCCATGTCCATGGAGCAAACCTTGGCCTCGGACACAGACAGCAGCAGCATTGACACACTGACGGGGCCGCTGGACGAGAGTCAGTGAACACAGTCCATGGCCACGTGTGGCTGCCTGTCTGCTTGCCTCAGTTCCCCCTTCCCATTTACAATATCCAAATATCACTTTCCTTTCTTCTCTTTACTCTCTCATCTCCCCATTTTCTGAGATTTTTTGTCCCTTTTTTTATCATGTTTCTCTCCGTTCCTCTTTAACCTCAATGAATAGGTCTATTTTTCTATTGTTTTTCTGTGTGTGATGTGACGGATCTTGTTGATCGCCTTCAACTCCAGACTTTGTTTCTTTTTGGGCTCCTGCCTAGAGGTCAACGCTATCTATTCTATCTGTTGGGTCAAAGGTTTATCTTTCTCTTCCCTGTGGGTATTGTTTAAGTTCATCAAGTATATATGATGTACGCATCCATATGGATTTTCAGGTTACCAGGAGTAGGTTGGGGATTGTTGTTTGTTCTGTATGCCTGTATTTTAATAGTTTTATTTTTTTAAGTTGAGACCAGAGGTTATTATCATCAAATTAGAGCAGACACGCACTGAACATAGACCACAGCTGCCAGCTGCTCTCATGCATGTTACGCCAATACGAACAAAAGCTTACCATAAGTCGATCGCACCAACCATCTGATGTCCATCTGATGATCAAACACTCATCCAAAGTTTGATCGATCCTTTAGCTAGCTCACAGTATTGCAGATCTCCACAGTGGTGCTTTCTGCACAGTGTTTTAATTAATTGGCTTGAGTGATGTGGATTATGAGCTTTCCCTCCTGACAGCTACGGGAAGCTGTGCTTGCAGTGTTACAGTTTTATTTCCTGATATAATGTACTGTATGTAAAGATGTCATGATCTGACACTCACAGTGGCTGTAGACTCTTTCACGACTAATAGATAAGATGTGCTTGTTTTGTTAAGAGACTCAACATATCTGTAGAACCATATATTGAAATCACCCCCATTTGACAAAAGGTACTGACTAACAATGTGTATATCAAAAATAATAGATCATAATCCTGTAAATCTGGGAGAGGCAAAAAGATACATGTAGTATTTATTTTTGTGTTCTTGCAAAATGTTGCACACAATCACATTGAGGCCCATGTAAGTTAAGCCTCGTGTCAAAGCATTTCATGGACAAATCAATGCATTGGCTGCTCCTTTTCTAAACCATTCCATTAGTACTGGAACAGTAACAAAATTAATCATGAATCAGACATCATGTAGAACACACGTAAAGGCAGTAAAACACAAATAATGGTGTTGAACTTGCATGAAGGCATTAAATATGCCAATAAGATACTGTAGTTCTTGTTAAAAAGAAAAAATCTGTTCAGGTCAGTTCTTTCACTTACAGTGATGTTCTCGGTTCTGAAAGCCTGTTTAATGCAGATGTTATCTTTCTTTCTTTCTTTTTTTTTTGCTTTATAAGCCTGTGTGTGTGTGTGTGTGTGTGTGTGTGTGTTTGTTATCGATGATGTACTGTGCAGCGCTCTCCTTCATGATGTCCGTTGAATCGTCCTTAAAGACAGTAGTCACCTAGTTGCAAAGGCTACGTCACTGGAGGAAGTTGGCCCCTCAACAAAAAGCAGACGTGGTTTAAAATGAGGATGTAACTGTGGAGTCCTGAATGAAAATTGCTGGACCTTGGAACCCAAGATGGAAACTTGAAATGAACCTTGGAGCTGCTTTTTGCGGAAATGATTGCACAGTGTGATGGACATGCAGAGAAAATGACACTATGGAGTCACTGAGGACTTGAAGCACCATGTTGTACACTATATTTTCCTTTTATAAATCATGACCTTATTCTTTCAGTCATGCCTTAAATGACCAGAGGAGTGGCCAATTCACTCCCAAAAATCTTATCAGATAAGGACTGAGCATTACAATGCTCAGAACATCTTGTGTGTTTACCATGTTTTTAAAAAAAAAAAAGATCCATTGTATGCACTGTACATCTCACATTTTTTTGTTCAGTTTGTTTCTCCTTTTATTTTCAGAGATGTCCCGTGTGATTGCAATGGCCACAATATAATCACTTGGCCAACATATTTTGCCCTAATGTAACTAATAAAGTGGACATCAGTGATTCATTTTCTTTCAGTGATGTTGTTTTGTACATTTCTCAGATTCTTAGTGAAGAAATTCTGCATTTATTGTGACAAATTTCTTTTCTAGATCCTAACTAGAGGTAAAAGACTAGCCAGTCTTGTGCCTGTTGTCCTTCACTTTGCACACACTGTTCATATCATCACACTTTTTTTTCTTCTTTTTTTTTCTTAAAAACTCTTGACAATACATTCTGTCTTCTTGGCCTCATTGTTGAGCTCTCCGAAGGTATCAAAGAACTGCTCCATCTCCTTCTGCAGAGTTGCATTGCGTAGTTCTGCGGCAGTCCGGGCCCTTTCAGACTCCACAATCTTAGCCTGGACAACCTGGTACCAGTGCCGCTGCTGTACGAGGTTTGCTTTCAACCGAACGACCTCTACCTGCAACTCTTCATTTTTTTGCTCTAGGCTGGTGGTAAAGACACAAGGAAGTTAGGGAGAAAGACAAGAATATCAAAATGACTGGGTGTTTACAAAAGGCTGAGAACTGGGTCAGGCTTTTCTATCAATGAGCAGAAGAGAGAACTGAATTTGTTGGTCAATCTGTAACGTGTGCGGTGATTGGTTATAGCAGGTTTGATTCTTGGTGCCTGATACAGTTCGATAAGACAGAACAGGTGGCTTACAAGGTTGAGTTAAAGTGTACAATCAAATCTATTGCTTTTTCTGTACTCTATGTCGAGCTAAAGGAATTGTGATTTTCCTTATGCCCTTGCCAAGCAGTACCAATGACCTTACACTGAGACTTGCTCTATCTATATCAGTAATAAATGAGGTATGTGTTGTGTCTAGGTCAGCAGCATGGCCCCTTAAATTAGCTCTCTTTCCAGTGTCATGAGCTGTTTCTATAGGTCAACCACACAGGCTCTGCTTTCTTTCTATTAAAACCAAAAAACTATTTACCAATAGACACATTGTGAATTTGTCTTTTAGGCCAACACATACAGTTTAAGGTACATCCAAGTCGTTAACATTGAATATGTAATACGTTGAGATTTTCACAGTAGACAGTAACAGAGGTGGTTAAATAGAATGTAAACAAGGACTTAATTAGTAATAATATTAGTACAGTCTGTGTGCTTAATATAGCACATCATGGGGGAATTTTGGAAAAACTTTAAAGGAATCTAATAACAGTTGTCGGTATGCTGTGAACTAAACAGGATATAGGGTGAAGTTTGGGGTCAACTGAGTCCCTGGAACATTGTGTTACCCTTCACTGGAAATACACCAGGGGCTGGAAAATTCTCACAGGAAAGTCACTGACGTGAAAGTTTAATACTGAAGCCACGAGCATGAGCACATTCAATTTAGGACATTTCATTTGTCTGTTACATGCTGTGCCTAATCTCTGTAAAGTGATTATGTGCACTGTGTAGTTTGAAATGGAAATGCAAGACAAAACAACATGAACATTACCTGATTATTCGTGCCTCATACTCCTCCCTCTGTCTGACTATTTGCTGTTGGATGCTGGTGAGAAGGCTGCGAAGAGCACTCGCGGAGGGGTCAGCCAGGGGTACAGGAGGGGGCACCCTAGAGGACCAGGATGGCTGCTGTGGGTGATGGGCTTCAGCTCGGGGCCACAGAACACGGCACTCAGTTTGGGATAACGGAGGGGAACTCGCTGCAAGATGTTGTTGAGGAGTTGATATTGGAAGCTTGAGGTGCAGCATCGTGTCCCCCTGCTTAAATCCAGAGTCCAGCTCTGGCTCCTGTTCGCTCTTCTTATCTTGGTCTGGATTCTGGTCCTGGTTACTAGAACCACTTTCAGCAAGGATGATCTCGCAGGAGGACCAGGGGCTCTTGTCTTCACTCGCTCCCTCATCATCCATCAGTCCCTGGAGCTGCTCCGGGGCCCATGCTCGGTACATCTGCTCCTGCAAGTGCTCCTGGAAGCTTGTTTCCATGTCAAAGACTTCTTGGAGGCTGTCAGGGGTAACAGCTTCAGGGAGGTTATCATACAGAGAGAGAGCACTCCTGTGCTCCTCACTCTGGGATGGATTGGGGCTCTGGTTCAGATGAGCTCTGTTCTCAACTCCCCTGGTACCTCCCTGTTCTCCTCCTCTCTCTCCGCCTATTGTTCTGTTTACGCCTGGATCCAGCTCTGCTTCCCAGCCTGCTCTTCCCAGGCCACCTCTCCAGCTGCAGTAGCTGTGATCTGGCCAGGCGCCAGTCCCTCTTCCCCCACTGACCAGTGTGGGAATCTCAGCTGGGGCCAGACCAGGCAGAGGGCTGCAGGGGCCTGGGAGTCTGGTTACAGCCGGGCACACAACCCTACTCTCCATTTCTTTTACCCTGGCTCTCCCTCGCTGGGCAAAAGGTGGGCAGTTGTCGTACAGGGGATCCGTGGAGCAGGAGCTGGCTGTGGTGGGGGTCTCAGTGGGAAGACAGTGCAACTCCATGATCTAACCAGGCATATGGGAGTGCTGAGAGCCACAGATAACTGCCCACCCCTCCTCTGTCTGCTGTAACTTGGGATTCAAGCCTTGGATTGTGGATTTGTGAGCGGGGTTCAGAACCTGTGCCAAGTGCTGTTGTGTCGTGGGAGAGGAAGGTGTAAGAACCCTCCTCCCCCTTTGGCTGGCTCTCTGCAGTGAAGCTGCTGCCTAATGGTAGACAGGTTGCAGTCTGCGTGTGTGTGTGTGTGTGTGCGGGGTGCGTGTGTGTGTCTTTAAGTAGGACTGACATCAGCTGTTACTTTAGCACAGCTTCTGAGGGAGGGACCAGGGTGTAATATAGTCTCATTCCTAAAGACAGTCAAACATAGCTGCAACCACAGAAATAGACAGTGGCCATGCGCACAAAGTGTAAAGCACACACAATGAACCCCATAATCTGCACACAATATTACAGTGACATCTGCCAAAAACACATAAAACGTAGAGATTTGACATAATACAAGCTTTTTAACAATTAAAGAAATGCTACAGTGCTTATCAGGCTTAATTTTACTGCATCGGCCTCTTACCTCAGCTGGGTTATTGATTTTCCTTCTCTGTTTTAATGCACTCTGTCTGCAACGCTGTAGGATGTGTTAACAGCCAAGTGCTTGTACTGTAGACAGAAGTTCACTCCGTGGAATCTGCCAATGTGCATTTATCACAGCTTGGACAGCTCAGCACCAAACCAGTAACAAATCATAAAGTTTCACCTGGCATTATCAAATCACGCAGGTTGCAGATTTAACCCACACTGTATAGTAGAGAGGAAAATTGTGCTTGTGCTCTGGGAAGGTTTTGTGTTATTTCACGGGGTACAAGTTAAGGACACAAATGGATGATTGGGAGAATCTGTGTGAGAGAGAGAAAATTAGAGAACTGGCTTAATATCTGCAGATGCACACTCACTTCCTCACTAGTGTATCCTAAAACCACAAGGTGGAGCTATAGACAACAGTATTAAAAGCCTCCACTTTAAATGGGCGTTGTACAGTGAAATCATTTAAGACATTTTGAAGATGATGTTGGTGATGTTTCAAGCAACAGAAATATGATTTAATTTGGTGCTCAAATATATTTTTATCGCTTAAGATAACAATTTTGTGAGCTGTTTGCCTCCTATGCATTATTTTTTCAGTTTGATGACTTTTTGATCCATGTTGAGTCGTAGAGACAGTAAGTTGTTTTTTTGAGCCTTATAAAGATCTATTGATCCTCTACTGATCACACAGCCCAGTGAAGAACTCCTTCATTAGCGTGATGCCATGAAGGAACCACTATGAAAGGTACTTCCTCTTGATCAGAGGGAACATCCATATAGACCGGTGTCCTTAAATCACCTCCAGTCAAATGACTACAGAGAGTATAGAGGAAGTGACGTCTCTCAAATGTTTTTTCAACCGCACGTGCTGCCTATTCATTTTGAGATTACTCTACATTACTGAGAACAAAGTGTTCTACAAGCGCTTTCGACTGTCACTGCAATGCTTCAAAAATCAAGGACGTGCTGCAAACTTTCTGCATGGGCACATTTAGCAGTCAGTTGTCCGTCAACACTGATAAACTTTTATCTGCCCTATGTAAATCGCCCTGCATCCTTCAAGGCTGCACAGACAGTAGAGGAATCACAATGTTTTATCTGTTTGTAGACACGCGTTGCAAGATTTAAATGTGGGCATAGTTTCCTCCCTGCACTGTCCTGAACTAATACAAGAAAATCCTTGTGGAACTTGAGAGTGAAAGTGTTGCTGTAGTGCTCAAGGTGAGACCAGAAAATGCTCTGAAAGAAAACAACCAGCTGGAATACCAGACATGTGCTTTAATCTCCCTCATATCCCTCGGAGGCTTTGCCCTGACCTCTATCTGTCATTAAACAAAGGATGGACAACCTTGTCGTCTTTAACCCCTCGCCTCGAAACCCTGTGACTTATCACAGCTGGATCTCAACCACAGAGAGGTTAAGTTTCCTCCAAGACCCCTTATTGCCCCCAGCCCTTCCATCTCCCTTCGTCCTTCTCCACTTCCTGTACATCTGCGTAGTTGTTTGTAGCCATGACGACAGGATCCATGGCAACACAGATCCCCATGGTTCTAAATAATAAAGGTGGATGGATGAACGAGGGGCGGGGAGGGGGGGGCAGGAAGGGCTCTGTGGCTATTTTAGCAAGTGTCTCGATGGAGAGTAATTGAGGAGGGCCCTTGTTAACAAGAGACCGGGTCTGCTTAACAGGCGAAGCTTCCAGGGTGACACACAGCCAGCTTCTCTTTGAACTGTTGAGTGGTTATAGAGGGGCGTAAGGTAGGTTATATATAGTTCAAGATACAAATCTATCACTGAGTATAAAACTATAAAAGACAAATCAGGGAAAGTGTGGCTGTGGATGTTGTATGAAGGAGTGACAAGAAGTCGAGCAGCTAGGCAGCAGCTTGGACTGCCAAGGAGAGAGGAGAGATAAGAGAAAGGCAGACAGCGTTTGTCTGTAATGCGTTGGTGTTTTTCTGCATGCAGGTGTGTTTTTGAGAGATTAACATGCCTGCCTCTCTTTCCTCTGATCCCCAAACACTCTCTCTCTCTCTCTGTGCATTAAAGCTGCAGTGCTACCTGAGCAGATTATATACCGTTTCTTTGCTGTTTACTCATGTTTTATTAAGACAACCGTGGTTTCCTATGCAGCAGTCACCTCAGAAGACTTTGATGCCGCTGTTGTATTTATTCTATTTTTTTATGACAATATTAACAGTGGCGGAAAGAAATGACATATTCAACTACTGTATTGTGCAATTTTGAGGTACTTGTACTAGAGTATTTCCATTTTACTTCCATTATTCATTATTATTATTTCCATTTTATAACAGTTGTGATGGAATTGTATAAGTTCAAGGTATTTTTTTCTGAGCACTTTAAGAACTCAGGAACTAAGAAGCTAGTATTTTGTTTACAAAAGTGTTTTAATATATATAGTCCAGTAAATCAGATTAAACAACGCTTAATAACCTACTACCGCGCGTTTCCTTTCCGTTTAAGACAATAGATTGCTTATAAAGACATGGAAATTCAATATGATCGTTTATGTAAACACAACAAAATGAAACTGTAACTGGCTCTTTAGTTGGCTTTAGTCACAAAATGCTCCACGCCTTAACATCTGAATATCTAACTCATAGCTCCACAGCTGCTTTCAGAATTATTTTTATTTATTTATTTTATTTTATTTATTTAAACCATTCAGTGACCCCTCGTGGCCTGATGCATGTATTCATCTGCACTGATTATTCAGGTCTTTGTGTGTTATTCAGGGATGGCTCTTCAACTTTCTTCTCATGCAAACAGAATCATAACTCTTTCTGTCACGAAGCGCCTGTGTCTTGCTCTCATCCATTTTAAACAAGTGTCTTTTTCAAGGTTTAGTTCAACACAGTGGATTATTTATTTATAACATGAACAAGGTGTCTTCAGGCAACAAGAGGCCCACACTCACGTGCACACACGCTCCTGCTCTCTCTCGAACGATCCCACATAGATTTATACATTGGAGATGTGCGTCACTGGTATCCATGTGTGGGTAGGTTATGCTGCTGCCATGCTGAATTGGATTATATTGCTTTTTTTAAAAACCATCTCTCCACATTCTCAATTAAAACCCTCAGCGCATTTTAACTTGTAACACTTGTCACATGTTGTGTCCACAGGATCTACAGTTTCATTATAGCTCATATCATTAACATTTTGATTAGATAGCTTTTACTATCATCTCTTGAAGCAGCTGTGCGATGTGATTATCTTCCCAGTAATATGATGGTATACATTTGTTTGCAGGATTTTTTCTCATCATGGAGCATCACACATTTTGACAGTCAATTAACAGACCTGGCAGAGTTACCATGGGAACAACTTCTTTTAGAGTTGACAGAACGGTAGAGAGCGCTCAGGAGCAACACCTTTAACAACCAACCTGTCTATGTGGCTGACTGCAGCCCCAAGCAACTGAGGCATGTGTTATATGTATACATGCAACCGCTACTTTGCATCACACAGCTGTCGTCCTACAGTGTGGTGCAGACAGATGTTACACTTTACTCGAGCTGAAAATGAAATGGAGAGGAAGAGACTTTCAATGGAAATCCCTTTTGAGCTGGGACGTTATTAGAGTGTCCTGCTGTCAGATTTCTGGGCGAACAGTCAAAGAGGAAATCTGTGATACATATGTTATTGTTTTTAACCCTAATGTGGTATAGTTAGATTATATGGAATGGGGAGATAATTTTGTATCTACAGTACCCTCCCGATTGTCGTATAAATGTATGTGACAGAAATATAATGTTAATATGGTAAAAAAAGTAAAGAGAAAACAGAGCCCACGTCTTATGGGTATATATAATAATGTAAATATATTCTGCAGTGATTGTATGTATTCTGGTTCGACCCGCCTCAGGTGGTCGAAAGCCGATGTGCATATGAATGGCTGTTATGGGTTTTTTTTTTTTTTTTTTGTTTTTTTTTGTGTGGGAGGAAACAGATCAGATAATGAATGTCAAGTATGTGAGGAAAGGAAAAGAAGCAGAATAAAAGGTGTTTAATTTTAAGTGGATATATATAAGATATATATGTTGGTTATAAATATTAGAGTGGATGAGTTGAGGAAGACAACAATCAATGCGCCATGTTATATATGTGTGGTCTACAGCAGGCATGTGCTATAAAATTAATAAGTATGAGCTGAAAACGTGTGTTATATATATTAGGCTGAAAACTATCTTCACACTTAGTATTACGTGCTTCATCTCAAAAGATATGCTATATATAAAGGATAAGATGTGTAGATATGCTTATATATGGAATCATTACTTCAAGCAGAAGGATAGGAGAAAGATGGGACACTTGCTTTATGTGTATATAATTATATATTTTTAAATAAGATATTATATAATAATGTGCGGATCAATTAAAAAAAAAAAAAAACAAATGTAAAATAAAATCTAAATAGGAAAGAATATGTCGCATTAAAAACCTGCGATCGGCTTACTACTCCGCCCGCGAGCCGTGGCAACCGTGCCAGTTTTGTCACGGCTGGTAGATAAAACAATATTCACTGGCCCTGAGCTTGGCACTAGAAATGGCGCATGCAGACCCTGACCATTTTCTCGCAGTTGTAACAGACATCCTGTGGTCACGAGTGGTTGTCGCTCATCCGGCCGACTGTGTG